AGTGATTTCTATATCTTTGAAGCTTTTAGATCCTAAGTGTATTATTAATTATTTTGAATTTTTCACCTTACATGTGTTGGTCTAAATTCCTTAATAAGTGAAGCAAAATGACAGAAAAGTGTAAGAAATAAGTGTAAGCTCAGGTGGATATCAAACGGAACCACAGAAGTTAGAGAACTATATCAGCCTGTCCCATGGGACTAATAGAGGAAGAGTCATTGAAACCAACTTCCCTGTTAGCGTCATTCCCAGATGAACACTGCTTGCCAGACACCTCAAACTGTCATTTATTGACTGATTCCTGAAAATTGAGGGAGAAAAGCAAAAGGTAACCCAGAAATGCAAGAAGCTAAGGAAAAACTGTAATGAACTTATTAAAGAAGGCCACAGAAACCAAATACAAAGAAGAGGGTTTAATGAACAGATTTAGGATCAACAACCACCACACAGGAGAATACTACCCACCCACCCCATCTGCAATAGCCCATTTCCCTTTTTGTACCTTTGAAATATTGTGAAGTGTTTGTCACTTGTCTGCAGTACGCACGCACCAGCGATATGCAAGTGGATTGGAATTGCAAATGGAACTTGACCGTTCCCAGCCTTCAAATATTAGATTTTTTCCAACCTAATCCATTCAACTCCCCGGGTCCTTTATCATGGATACCTGAATGAAGGAACCTGGTAAACTTCACCCTGCCTGAAATTCACCCCTGGTAGCTATCAGTCTCTAGGCTGGATGGAGTTGGTTTGGTCCCTTTTCAAACAATTGGAAAGAACTTGAATTAAAAGGAAAGAGGAAAGTGAGAGAACTCCACTATTTAAGGTGGGGACTTAGACAAAATATCTTTCTTTTTTTAATTAGTGATTTTCATTTCAGCTTGAGTTAGCAAGAGACCAAACCTGCTATCTATAATGATAAAAGTTTGCAATCACCTGGTTTGTTCTGCAGGAGCCTTTACATAGAGGAAATTGTGTGGCCTCTTGTGCTATTAGCCTTGTGCTGTGGTGTTGCCAACTGATTTCTCCAATTCTCTTTTCTCAGTGGGCTAGAACACAGCTGATTAAATAGGCCATGACTCACATAAGCTCCCGTGTCTTTTTTATTGACTGCTTTATGGAAATGTATCACACTCCAAAGGGTCCCCATTGTTGTTGCTGTGAGTAGCTGACTGAGGAGTCATGTTTAGCACTGAGAGATGGAATCCTACTCTGTTGTTTTTTATTGCAGAGTTGGGGATGGGTGGGATACAGGGTTTAAAGGAATCTGGATGAGGAGAGAAGGATGTCTGAGAATTTCTTTTATCTTTATCTGCCATGAAACTTGGGTGGCCATCACTTCTGGGTAACACACTTCTCTGTAGATCTTATCTTTATGGTCCCACATCATTCAGCTAAGTGAATCTTTTCTTAATATTGGCTATTCTGACAGTTTTAGTTAAGTGTAATGGTAGAGAGAGATTATGACACTAATGTAATTCTGTTTTGTGCTGATATAATGTGATACACCCTTAGGTTTATTCAAGAGGGCCGTTTATTCCCAATAAACCTAAATCATTTCTATTTTTTTATTAAGATGGTGATTATTTTTTTTCAGGCAATGGACAAAAAGCCTCGATATTTTAAAAATTGTATACTTAAATATAAATGTTTCTGCCTTAAAATAGCAATGTTTGTGGCTTCTTCCTATTTTTATCTTCCTGCAAAGCATTTACATATTTTTATTATGCATTAAGAAGCTCTGCAGATTTGCTCATTTGCCAGTAGGTGTCAATTCAGGCATACAACACTCCTGCTGCCTCATCACCCCAGGATTGTGGCTAACATGTGCACACTTGGGATAATCTGTTCTTGATCAGTAGGACCTTGAACTGACACTGAAAGAGGAGATAGCTTGATTGTGGCTATCCCATCTTGGTTGTCTAGATTTATCTGATAAGTCATGGAGCTGAGGAAATTGATCTCAGAGTCAACTTAACGTTGAGAACAATTCTGTTATTGTAAGTGCCTTGCACATAGAACACAATCAATGGAATAGAGATTGATTTTATTGGATTTCCTAATTTTTTTTCCCATAGCTATTCCAAAGTTCACCTATAATCCCATTTTACCCACTGCCCACAAGAGAAACAAGGCAAGAGAGTTCATCAATACAGATTCTCTCTACTAAGAAAGCAACATAGCCCAGCCGGGCGTGGCTCAGCAGTTGAGTGTCGACCTAGGACCCAGGAGATCAGGGTTCGATTCCCTGTCAGGGCACATGCCCAGGTTGTGGGCTGCAGCCAATCAATGACCCTCTCATCATTGATGTTTCTGTCTCTCGCTCTTCCTTTCTCTCTGAAATCAATAAAGATATATTTTTTTAAAAAAGAAAGAAAGCAACATAACACATCTTACAAAACACAGCATATAAAATACCACATTTTCCAGCTCTATTACTCTTCAAAATCTTGTTGGTAAATGACCAAGAAAGGAAATTCAGCAACTCATTAGTGCCCAATTTTAAAACACCAGGTGTGACGTTAGGGAGAGAAGGTGGTGATGGTGCTGTCCCCTAGCCTCCTAGAATTAGTGATTTGAAGTTCAGGCATCTCTGCTGCATTATGTCTTTGTTTTCTTGGTGGTGGCATTCTTGGGTTTCGGTTGGTGGGGAGAGAAAAGCCTCATGCTGATAATGTACTGAAAGTAAATGAAATTAAATAAGCGAAGCAGTGCTCATCACTACTTCCTTCCCCCCTGGGTAATTCAATTCAAGCTCTCTCTCTGATGGCAACTCACAGGGACTGTCTCTGTCACCCCGCTGGGGCCTGGAGTCTTAACATCTAAATAAAAGTTTCACTCAAGCATTTTTTATGCTCCTGCCAGCAGGATCAGTGAGCTGGTGTGGGCACATTAATGTAATATTCATACTCACAGACTCTCCCCGCACACGAGGCAATGTCTTCCCATTTTCATAATTATAGATGTTCCATAAAATGGCATTTAGATTTACATTTTAAAAAAAGGAGGTTTGAAGTCTAATAGAATGTTTAACATATCTTTTATGATTCAGACTCTCAGCATCTTTAACAGGTAGCTGTGTCTCTAAGTTTAACAAGACCTTAAAAAGGAAAAAGGTGGGGGGGTACCCGTGGGAAGAAGAGGCGGAAACTTCAAGCTTAGGGGATCCTGTTTTCCTTATCTCCTGTGTTTTTCATTTAATTTTTAGGCCTCCGGGAGCAATTTTTTGACAGTGCTGCAGAGATAATGGTCTCTGTTTCAAAGGGTCTTCTCAACCATACTGGGTCCTCACCCCACCCTCAGTAGGACCTGCTTCTGTTTTCCTGGAGAGCATTTTTAAAGAAATATTAGAATTTTCAGAGAGGTGGGAGAAATAAAAGGATCCTAGACAAACTTTCCTTTGCTGCTGTTGCTCTCATGTGTGCATCCCTGAGACTCCTGGGGGAGGGGAGACTATAGCAGCCACAAAGTTTGCTAACTGTAAAACACACAAATGAGAATAGTCCATGAACAAGGAAGTTGACAATAAGGACAAATAGGATAAAGAATCAGGCACTTAGACACACTAAAAAAGAAAAAAAGAAGCTCTTCTGATTCACGTGTTTAAAACTAAGCTTGAAACAGCTTAGAAGCAAGAGGTAATTTTAGTTGCATTTTACATTGTCTTAAAATGTTATTTTTAAACAAAAAGTATGTCAAGCACTGAGCAAAGTAGCCATTACTGAATAAAAGCTAGTTATTGTAGGAGATATTTAAAAAATTGTGTAATTGAGAAAAATGATTCCACCTAACAATTTCAAGATACTGTATAGGTTGTGCCTTTATTTGGTTTGTAGTTTGTTTGCTTTCTAAATTAAGGCAAACCAAAAGAGATTTGGGCTTGGGGACTAAAAAAAATAAATATTAGGACTACACTAGCCCATGCTCTTCATTTCTCCTAATTAAGAAATATAGAATTATATATTTTTAGAGAGTTTGGGGATTTTTTTGTTGTAGTTTTTCTTTTTTCTTTGTTTTTATCCTCACCTGAGGATAGGTTTATTGATTTTAGAAAGAGAGGGAGAGAAAAGAGAGAAACATAGATCAGTTGCCTCCCATACGTGCCCCGACAGGGGATCGAACCTGCAACCTAGGTATGTGCCCTGACCGGGATTCAAACCTGCAACTTTTTGGTGTGTGGGATGACACTCAACCACCTGAGCCATCTAGCCAGGGCTCATTTTATTTTTTGAGGAGCAAATTCCTTCCTCTTTGTCTCTGCTGTTTGCCCCTCCCTTCTATAAATAAGTATAAACTCCAGTGGTGGAAGATGGATTAGGATCTTAACTTTTCAATAAATTTGTACCTAATGAGGCTAATTGAAAGCCAAGAAAGTTAGCAGCATGCAATTAAAGACTGGTGTCAGTTCCAGGATCTTCTCTTCGTAAGGCTTCTACCATTCTTAGACCCCTTCCCTTACTTTGACAAAACCAGGATGTGGCAGTTATTGCCAAGTTCAGCTTGCATAACCCTTCTTTGTGTGAAGTTAATAAAAAAATTTATGTACACTAAGTTGGCTGTTTGTTAAAAAAAAAAAAAAAAAGAATGTGTGTTTATTGCTCCTGAGGTGACTGTGTTCATAGTGAAAGCTTGTCTGTGCTGGTAGCTATTCATTTGACTTTTGATTATCTCAATGTGGATTATCCAATTTGAAGCTTATATCCACAGCACATTCTTAATTCTCTGGAGTCCTTTTCTGGTCAATCAATACATATTTAGGCTACCTCTCCTTGCACAAACTAATGTATAGTTTAGATAATTTTAAGCGATTTTAGCATTAGATATAATTAGGAAGAAAGAAAATTTACTTTTTTCCCCAATCATCTAGAAGTTGTTTTATTTTGTGCTGTGTTTAAACAATTGTCTGTCTGTACCCCTTCATTAATATACATTATTGAAAGTAGCCTAAGTAAATGAAAATTCCATCAGGTTTCAACAAAGCATTTTATTTTTCTTTTTAGGAATAGAAGACTTCACAAGAGGAGCTCAAGAGCTTGATAACATCATCAAGCAAGGATACTTGGAGAAGAAAAGTAAAGGTACTGATCAGACCCATAGATCTCAAAACATTCCAGGAAGGGAAGGGAAATGAGGGCAAAAAAGGCTAACGTAGTATGTGCCTTCTCCATGCCCAGTACTGTGCTAGGTAGGTGGAAGGCAAAAGGAAGGGAAGAAAAGAAGCCTGGTGTGTAGGCTAAACAGAGATGGCCCCAAATCTTCAGCAGATTGTGAGCTTCATCAGGATAGGGATTGGTTCTACTTTGCTCACCTAGTACACAACAGATGCTTAATAAATACTTGTTGAATGAATGAACCAACAAATGAATGCTATTCTTGTTCTCATCTCTCAGTGCATGAAGAGTAAAACCATGCTGCCAAGAGTATAATTTTTATATCATATGTGAAGCAGCCACTTTCAAGTTTAAGAGGGAACCAACTCTTAACCTATCACGCATTTGATAAGCATAGATACTACTAGGGCCAGAGTCCCAAGTTTAACACTCAGCAGGCAAATTGGCCTAGTATAAAGAAAGCCATTTTGTGCCCATGGCCTAGAACATCATTTTGGTTTGCTAAAAGGCAGCACATAAATATATCATGGAGAATTTGAAAAGTACAGGATAAGATTTGACACTGAAATAAAGGAAGATGGACAGCTGTGAGGGGTCAGAGCAGACAAACCCTGTTTAGAACTTGGACCTTTAACTGAACGAGTCCTCTGGACACTGAGTCAATATGGGATAACCTGTGGGAGTGAAAGGGGGCGGTTTACAGTCCATTAACCTGGGAAATAAAACAATAACACACTGGACTGTGTTGTTGGATTTTACGGACTCCTCGGTGATTGTAGTTACCTGAATTTATGTCCCTTACTGCTGTTCCATTTAGATCATAGTTTCTTTGGATCAGAGTGGCAGAAGAGATGGTGTGTTGTCAGCAGAGGCCTCTTCTACTACTATGCTAATGAGAAAAGTAAGTGTTCTTCATTTGCACAGCAGCATCTCACTCCTGGATGCAAACACTTCGTAAATTCTCAAGCACTTAGATCTCAAGATAGCAGTCTTTAACTAACACCCATAAAGGGACCTGCTTGGGAAAGAAATAGGCTTGAGTAAATAATACCTTGCCTGTCACCAAACACTCAGATGCCAATTTAGAATTTATCTCCCCTTAAACACTGGGATATTGTGGTCAGCATATCTAAATCTTATCTTTTATTATGACTAATAATAATATTATCAGTGTTGAACATTTTGGCATTCTTTTAAAAAAAAAAAGAACCTCAAACTCTTAATAATATAGTTTAAAAATGAAAATAAATTAACTCTGAGAAAGATTTAAACAGCTTACCAATGGCCTAGAAATAGAACCTTCAAGTCCAAACTCTCTAAGAACGTGTTGCAAACTTTATTCTGCTGACTCCTGTGAAGTAGCCCAGTAGACATCCCTAGAGCCATGGAGTGTTGAGACCCAAATGGTTGCCGTGCCCAAGAGACACCCTTCAGCCAGATGGCAGCCACAGCAAAGTGTTGACTCAGGCCAGAAGCAGATTCTTAATCAGCCACCACTGACTCAATCAAGCACAACACTCATAAGCTATCCCTAGAAGAACTCTCATCCATGCTTAACACAGTTGCTTAATTTGTGAGAAGGAATAGAAGATACAAGCACAAATTGGAGGCAGCTACAAATATATATAAGCTAAAAATTATCATTGTAGGTGAATGCAAACTTTCAAATAGAATATCCTCCTACAAAGTCAGACTGCCCCAGAAGTTATTCTACAAAGTATATATATACTTTTTTATTAATTTCAGAGCGAGGAAGGGAGACTGAGAGAGAGAAATAGAAACATCAATGATGGGAGAGTCGTCATTGATCGGTTGCCTCCTGCACACCCCCGACTGGGGATTGAGCCTGCAACCCTGGCATGTGCCCTGATGGGGAATTCAACAGAGATCTCCTGATCCTAGGTCGATGCTCAGCCACTGAGCCACGCCCAGCCAAGTGTAACTTATTTATTTTCCTTCCAATCATTTTCTGTTTCTCCTCTCTTCTTTCCCAAACTTATTCCTCTCCCAATGCCTGGATCTCCAGTCTAGGAAATAATCAGATGTTTACCCCATTGCCTTTGAACTTTCTGCACCTTTGGCTCTAAGGAAGCAGAAAGGACTACAGCTTTGCTAAATGACTTAATCCTTAAGATTTGCCCTCGGGTTTTGAGGCAGTTGCCTCTCTCTGCCTCTCTACCTAGTACTGCAAGTATCACTGTCCTCCATCTTGGGTTCACCATCTCGGATTTTTCAGAGCCTTTCCACCTTTGGGTAAAGTGTGAATCCCTACTTGGGAATGATAGCAGCATACTTCAAAAACTGAGAAGTCCCTTATCTAAACTGCAACCCACTCTCAAATCCAGCAACAACAATTTCTCCCCTGAATTCTCAGCATACAAGCTAGCCAGGTGTGATATTCTTATTTTAAACCTTCAAACTAATAAAACATTTAGGTGTTTGTAAAAATGTTTGTCATTTCCCTTGCATTTAAATAAGTGGTTGGCATATCTGAATAGGAAACCAGGTATCATGCTTCTTTATTCAGAATCCTTTACACTCAAGGTGAGAGGGACAACAAGAGCGAGAGACTAGGAGACTTTTATTGACCATTTTGCTGTCAGGGTGAAATAAAATCTGGTGACCAAAGAAACAACAAAACATTTTAGTGGCCCGTTAGAACAAGGAGAGATACTTTAACAAAAAAGATTCTGGTGTCAAAAAGCACTGTTGCATGGCTCCCTTCTCGCCAGTTACTTCTTATTGCGCCCAAGACATTTTCTTAGTAAGTATAGAGTGTTTGTATTTCTTTTAGCTCAACCAGGTAAGGACAGAATCTTTTTCTTTTCTTTTAATTATTGTCGGCCCACTGTCATACTTATCATCATCATCATAAAAACGCACTTATTAAGCAATTCATTCCACGTGATGCAAAATACAAAGCATCACCCAGACACTGTGGTGCCTGTCCTCTACACATTCTGCCCAAACCACACCGTGAGGACACAGAACCCCTGGGAACCACCTCTTCTTTTCCTGTTTCTAATATTTTTTTAAAGGGAGTGACAGGCAGAGTCCTGTCTCCTTTCTTTCACTTAGGGGCCTTTGGCCTTTTACCTCCTTCCTCATTATCTGATGATACTCAACAGGACTCTGCTACTTCCCAATTTGGCCTCTTGGAAGGATGATAAAATACTGAGTTTTAATTATTCTCCCTCTAGCATAGATTCCCACCTGAACAGCAGGTGGGGGGGGCAGAGTGTAGCCCAAATGCTGCACAGGGCATAGGAGGAGATCCTGGGAACTTATAATGCCCCCTGCGCTGCTATTCCTCCCCTCAATGTGAGCTCTGTTGGACCTGATAATAATGTTTCATTTCTGTAACAGCCTTCAAGAGCCTCACGTTTACAGCCACACTCTCCCTGCTGTAATAATTCCTCTTTCTGTTATTATAGATCTCTTAACATTCTAATAAATCCTTTGTCTCCATTGTACTCTTTTGGCAAAATAACCTTTCGTGTAGCATTTCCCTGGCTTGGCAGTGATATCTGCCTCGCTGTCGCAGTAGACTCTTCTTAAGCTTCCCTAATAACCTTTCCTTGACTGTTGTGGTTCCTCAGGGATGTAACAGCTGTTTCTGTGCTTTTATTTTACATACCAGAGAAGATGCCTTCCCTTGGCAGTTGCGTCTCTCTAGGGATACAAAGAGCTTTCCTGTCTTGCAGGCAAGCAGCCCAAAGGGACCTTTCTCATTAAGGGCTACAGTGTACGGATGGCCCCCTACCTGCGAAAAGATTCCAAGAAAGAATCCTGCTTTGAGCTGACCTCCCAGGATAGGCGCAGCTATGAGGTAGGATGAACCGAGGAGATGGTGTTCCTTATTAGCGCTGCAGTTTCCTTCCATGTTGCATGTGAGCTGTGGTTACTGTGCTGGGTTTCATTCTTTCTCTGTTACCTGCTCATTTTCTACCAAGACCTTCTTTCTTGACATGTCCTCACCTTTGCTATGTTTTGCCCCCCTTCTCCAGTCTGTTGCTACTCTCATCCTAGCTACTGCCTCTGCCTGGCTTCTATCTCTTCATGCCTCCTCTTCTTGGTCTCACTTCATAGGTGAGAGTCTTGTCTATTGCAGCACACAATCTAATTCCTCATTCGGAACCTCTAATTTCATGGCTTTAATTCCCATTCTCTCTATTTTTCAACTGATTATCTTCACTTACTTCTTTCCATGAAATCCAGAAAAAGAAAAATCTGTCTGTCGAGTGAAAACTAATTTATTTTCCCATACTCATCTTGCTATCCAAAATAATCTTTCTGTGTATAGATGCACTGCATATCTTTGGAAAGATTTCTGAGATATTGGTGACAATGATTACTGAATAGTAATAGTGATAACTGAGGGAGTAGACCTAGGTGGGGGAAAGAAAGATTTATTCTTTACTATATTCATTTTTAATATATTTTGATATAATGTAATATGTAATGCATTTATTACCTGTTACAAAGTTAATTAAAGCAATAAAAAATTTCTGACTATGAGAATATAGTGATTTTCAACAAAAATATATTTGTGAGTGTGTATATACATATTGTTTCCTGCTTGTTGGTCATTTTTATATTATCACAATTATATGAAAACAATTTAGAAAACCTTTAGCTAACTTGTGAAAAGGAGAAAAACCATTCCAAGGTTAATATTAACCACTTACATAACTTTGACTCCAACTTTTTCTCAACATTCATCCTTTTATGTTCCTACAGTATCTTAATCCTTATTTGGTTAAATGACCTAGGTCCATTATATTATTTCAATTTTTTTTAATTTAAATTTTTCTATAGAATCATTTGTAAATATATATAATACAGATATATGCACTGGGTATGTTTCTAAGTTATTTTTATTATTCAGTTCTGATGGTGCCTCATCCAGATAAACACTTATATGACAAGTCTAAATCCATTTCCCTAGACATGTTTTATACAAATGTGTTTTTAAGAAATCAAGAATGACAATATCTATTAATAAGTATTAAGCAGGAATATAGGTTTTGTATACAGCACATATCTTTATCTTCCACCAATGGCCAGATAATAGAAATGTTTTCAGGAACAGTCATTTCGAGTTGATTCATTTGAAGTAAAAAATTACTAAGGGTTGATGCCTGACTGGCCCGTTTTGTGAATCAGAATGTGGAGTTTGTTTGCTGCTTCTTTTCTTTGGACCATTGAATCCAAGTCATTATCATGGTCTGTGGATTCTTCTTGTACAATATCCTTTGGATCTTCCCCTTCTTATTTATTCCCACAGCCATCACAATAGTTAAGTCCTTATCACTTCACCCAGAGGATTCGTTAAATAGCCTTCTGGTTGGTCTTCTGTCTCCAATTTCTCCCTATTTCAACCCCTCCTATCCACAACTACTGAATCTCCCATTCCTTTTGCTAGAATTTACAGTGGCTTCCTATTGCCTGCGTTGTAAGCCTGAACTTCTAGCTTCATCAACTCTTCTCTTACCCTCAACCCTCTAGCTTCATCGGTTACTGTTTTGCAGTCAAGCTTATCTGCCTACCTTCCCCATACACCATGATCTCATTCCTAATCTTTCGCACATGATTCTCCCTTCCTAAACTGTCCAAATCCCTGCACCAGTTTCCGACAACTCTTTTTAAAATCCAACCAGAACAGTATTACTTCAACAAGCTTCCTTGCTTACTCTGTGCAACAGTTAGTGCTCCCTATCTTCTCTCAACATTCAGCTGTTATCAAATGCTTCTACTTTATAGTGTTCCCAATTCAAGTGTGTATGTTGTCTCTATAACTAATGCATTATTCTTTGAAGTCAGTAATTTTGGTTTGCTTTTTTTCTGTAAAATACTTTTATCAAATACATGTCTTATGAATGAATGGGTAATCGAATGAATGCACTTGGACCTGAATTCTGGACTCAAATAACTGTCGCCATTGGGTATACAAAATTGCTGAAGGGAAAAAAATCACTGAGCATTTTGATCTTTTTTCAAAATATTAAGCAGGCAGAGAATCCTGAGCTTCAACATGACTCTGAAACTTGACTCACAAATTCCCTCCCTTGAACCTCCCAATGAGATTCATGGAAATTTTAGTGAAGGTGATAAATTAATTCACTACTTTTTCTAGTTTACAGCTACTAATCCTGCGGAAGCCAGAGACTGGGTGGATCAAATAAGTTTCTTGTTAAAGGGTAAGTATCATTATTATAGAAATAATGCTTGAGTGTATTTGCAGTTGAAGTTATATGGCATAAATATAATCCACAGGTTTCAATATGTGTGTTTTTTCTACCCTCCGTATCACATCCCTTATATAAATCAGAAGGTAAAGAAATTATCAACCTAGAGATGACCACTGATATCATTCTAGCTCATCCACCCACCTATAGGCAAGCCTTTAATATTCATAATCACTAGAAAAGGAGATTCTGATAACCAGCTTGGCTCAATTTAGTGTCTCCTAAGCCCTTATATTCTACAAAAAAAATTCATGATATCTAACTTAAGTCATCTAGATGCAATTTAGATCCAAAATCTTCTTGTTTTGGTCTTAGTAGGAAGTGAAAATCTAAACTCATCTGGGTGGCCTTCAACAACATTGGACATTAAAAACAAATTGCTATTCCCAACCCATAATAAAATGCTCCTTGCTTTAGGATTGGAAGAGTCCTGCCTGAAGATGTTAAATGACTGCTCTTAGAGTACCCTCTGCTGGCCAGCCTGCAGGCACAGCAGTGACTGTGGCGCAGGAAGCCTTGTCTGGGAGTGGCCTGGCAGGTAGAAGTAACCAACCTTGAGTCTGTCACTTGACATCAGATGACCCTCATGATGGTATACATCATGGCAGGATCCTGTCTCCACAGAAAGGCAGAAACACCAACTTTGTACATGGCCCGCAACCTAGGTAGGAGCATGTCAACCTAAAAACACCAAGCCTTTGCATCTCTGTTTTTTATTCTGCTATAAGATTTTATTGTGGATAAAAAGAAGGAAGCACCAGAGCTTTAATTACAAGAATTGCCTATTTTACTCAGTTTATGCTTTTGCTATCACAAAAACAAACTATTGCCTCTACCAAGAGCATCACGTATAATAGACTGGAACTAGGCAAACATGAACATTGATGGTGAGACTACAGGGTACACTCTCATCTAGGTGCCTTAGATTTATGCATGTAATATACTCCTAAGTGTGTAAACCTCAATAAAACTCAAAGCAGCTTTATTGAGCTGTACCCTGTGGTACTTTCAGAATTCCACATTGAAGAAATTATTCATTCCATTTTATTTTAAAACAAACAAAATAATAACATATGGTTTTAAGCCACAAATGTGTCTTTGATCCCTTCCTCATATGAGGTGGCACCAGAATTCAGATGAAAATTGCTGCAAAATCTTTATTAAAAGCCTAATCAAGCCAAACAGTTTTATTGTGTTTTGAAATGAACGTCGGATGTCTCTCCATCCTTCCCTTCCCTAGAGTACCCTGACTGCACTCGCCCATCCTGCAGAGGTCCCTCAGCAGGGTTTCAGAGAGCACTCTGTACTACACATCAGAGAATGAACCTTCCCAGTTCCCCATTAAAATAAAAAACCAATCTCCCTTCCCTGCTCTGGGCTCCCCAGCGCTGTAATGGCTCAACATCCTCTATGCAGTGACCCACTTTAAGGTCAGCCAGACTGTACAGTTGCAAAAGGACGTGGTAACCACATCACTAAGCCATTCCATTTGGTCTTGTATTAGTTATATTTTTTTTCCACATCCCACTTTCTCTTCCTCTTCCACTTTTGCCTTTTTCTATCTATGAACAAATTTGTCTGAAATTCTGCAGTGAGATGATGCCCCCGGGGAGATGAGCTTCTGGCAGCTCAGATACCCTACGGAAGCCACCATAGTTCCCACAGCGCAGTGCACCCTGGAGAACCACAGGACATCACTCACGCTTCTAGTTTTCTCCTTGACGAGCAGTGCGTGGCATGCTGGCATTTCCTCTCCTGGCCCATTTTCTTCCCTTCACCTCGTGCGCTCATTCACACACCCATACTTTTCAGGGCTGCTTCATCCTGATCAAGTTTTATTGCAAGGAAGGATTTATGTTGACGGTTTAAACCTAATGCAGTACTTAGTCTGGCCTTTTCTGTAGATTTCCTGCCACCAACGCCCACATTAGAAATAACAGCACTTAACCTAGTGTTTCATTTTCTTTTGACACGTTTTATTCTCACCCCTCCTTCTCCTCTCCCCCTTTCCTCCCCTGCCTGATTCTTCTCTTTTTCTCCCTATCTTGATTCACTCTCATCTCTACCTTGGCAGACCTGAGTTCCCTGACGATTCCATACGAAGAGGAGGAAGAGGAGGAAGAGGAGGACGAGATGTATGATGATATCGATGGTCTTGACTCCCAAAACTCTGGTTCCCAGCGCAGACCCATTATGTTGCCTGGCAGTCTGGGACTGAAACAGCCCTCAGAGGAGAAAGAAGAAGATGATATTTACGAAGTCTTACCAGGTGAGGAACTTCATCTTCTAGTTGTCTTCCTCGAGTTTCAGAAACTCTTGACCTGGTGGAAGAATGCAACTGCGGGGACTCCAGAGCAAGCCAGATCTCTAAAGGAGAGCATGTAGGGAAGCTTCCATGGAGCCTCTGTGACTAGCAGCTCTCCCTTGCCCTGGGAGCAAGATGAATTGATCAGGGAGGGACCTTCATCTGATCCACGTGAAGTAGTTTATATTATATATGTCAACAAGGTGAAAGAGTTAAGAATATACTTATGTTGGTTTTCATTGGTTTGCTGTGAGTTTGGGGGTGGATCATCAAAACTCTATAGTTTCAACTTCTTTTCTGTGTAATTGTGAGAATAATGGAAAGTTGCCTCAAAATGATAGATATTAAAAGTCTAAAGGAATATAGATAAATGCTGACAAACCTTTTCTGTAACCCAGCAAAACCCTGATGGAGCACAGCTCATTATTACTGAGTTCAGATATACCATGAATCCAGTTGTGTCTCCTACAAATAACCCTAACATGTTCCCTCTGCCCACCATTACAGCAGGTCTACTGTACATATTTCTTCTCTTCCAAAAGCGTGGTAACTGGCAGCATCTCAAAAAATGTATAGTCATCACTGCTTCCGCAGAGCCACTTCTTGTGGGGATAACAGCAGCTGTTGAACAGTGCAGAGCACAGTGGGGGTCAGACTGTAGAAAACCGAAGCCTGAGCCTTTTAATCGTGAGGTAGTTAGACCGCAGGAACACTGAATCTTCAAGTCCATTCAGAAAGATGGCTCCTGTGGAAATTTGCCAGGCTCTGCTGAGAAATTCAAGTTAAGCCTAAATTTATAGCAATTTAAACTTCAATCCCAGATAAACTTAGGAACAAAGGTGAATCTAACATTCGGGCCCCTGAAGACAGGAAGGGTTGCTAAAAAGCACCTTGAGTAAGCAACTTGTTTTTCAGTGCTTCCTAAGAAGAGGGTCTAACCCTGTCAATGTTGCATGTGTCTCTTCCCTGGGGGAGAAGCCACGTCATTGCTTCCTGAGTCAAGGATCAGGGCTGTGGCCACACATTTTCTCCTTGCTAGGACCTCCC